GGGGTGTTCTATTTTTTGAGTTGGGAGATTATGTTCGTTCCTTGAGATGGGATGTGCACCCCCTTGGGGATGTTCTATTTTTTGAGTAGGGAGATTATACTCGTCTCTTGAGATGTGATGTGAACCCACTTGGGTTGATAGGTAAGGGTGATGCCCAACCTTAGGATGGGGATAACTGCCCACTGTAGGATGAGGCGCTCGAGACCTATGGTCTGAGGTAGATGCGCACGGTTGTGCCATTGGTTCGCGCGTGCGCGTCAGACCCTTTTTTTTTTTTTTTTTTTTTTTTTTTTTTTGAAGTAGGGACGTGAAACACTTGATGGGATGTGAAACCCCTTGGGGTTGAAAGGTAAGTGGATGTACCACCCTTGAGATGAGATGCCCAACTTTAGGGTGGGATAGCCCCCCATTTAGGATGAGGCGATCACGAACCACTTGGGTGAGATGTCCAAACTTGGCGATATATGGTGCCACTGATTCAGTGGCAGCACGAGTTGAATCTTCCGTGATCATACGCTGAAGGTCTTCTTCGGTTATCTGAACCGTTCGAGAAGTAAATAGACCTCCAGAGAGTCGATGACCCATGGCGAATGAAATGTTTTGGGGGCACTGTGAACCCCCAGGGAGTCGATAACCCTTGGCGAACAAAATATTTTGGGGGCGATGTAACCCCCAAGGAGTCGATAACCCTTGGCAAGCGAATATTTTGGGGGCGATGTAAACCCCCAGGGAGTCGATAACCCTTGGCGAGCAAAATATTTTGGGGGCGATGTAAACCCCCAGGGAGTCGATAACCCTTGGCGAACGAAATATTTTGGGGGCCATGTAAGCCCCAGGGAGTCGATAACCCTTGGCGAACGAAATATTTTGGGGGCGATGTAAGCCCCAGGGAGTCGATAACCCTTGGCGAACGAAATATTTTGGGGGCGATGTAAGCCCCAGGGAGTCGATAACCCTTGGCGAGCGAATACTTTGGGGGCAGATGTAAGCCCCTAGGGAGTCGATGGCGGTGGTGCCATAGGTGGCTCCACATGTGGAGCAGGTGCTGGTATCGCGTTGGGAGCATTTGCTCCCATCGTGGCGATATATTGGGTCACGGCCTCTGTGGCAACGCGAGTTGAAGCTTCTGCTATCATGCGTCGAAGCGCATCCTCGGTTATTTGAACCATTCGAGGAGCAGGGAATGGTGGATCGGCGAGTGGTGGGTCCCGAGGGGGGATCACCTGAACCTCGCGAGGCGGATCCATGGGACGTGGAGGAGGTGGCAAGCCAGAGCCTCCACGAGGTGGGAGGTCGTTAGCTGTGTCATTTTCTCTCCGAGCAGACGCCTCAGGAGGATCTTGTTGGCTACGTGATCTGGTTTGCATCGTTCCCACAGACGGCGCCAAAATGATGATGCTAAAATATAGCTCACCTAGGGTGGTGTAGAAAACGGATTGGGAGAGCAAAGCAGACCAGTAGCTTGACAACTTGATGATCCTGAGGTACCTGCGAAATGAACACATGAACTAGGCCGGGGGTTGATCCGGCGGAAACCCCTCCGACGCTCAAGTCAGACGTGCTGATAGTGGAAATAGTCCAGAGAATACAGTTAATAGTATTGCTCAGTTAATAGGACGTACCTTATCGAATGAGTTCAAATGTGTATTTATAGCTTAGTTGAGATTGTCGGGCCCAAACCTTGCTTGAAGGTGATTGGGCCTCGGTGATAGTAGTCTTCGATATTGGGCTCGTGGCCCGGTAGATAAATAATTTATAGGCCCATTGGGTTGGGCCAATTAGGCATATCATATATATATATATATATATATATATATGGTTGGTTGCAAATTACTTTGTTAGAAAAAATAAAAATTAATAATAATAATAATAATAATTCTCTTAGACGAGTCAAGTACTTGGTGCCTAAGGTACTTTGCCCACGACTAATGCTATATAATATTTGAAAGGAAAAAATATTTATATTTCTATTTTATATATTTTCACATTTTTGATTATATGGCATTGTAAACAAATAAATAAAATTTAATTAAAAAAAGGAAAATAAATAAATTAAAATAACTACCCCCAATATTCTCTCAAAAACGACAGCGTGTAAACAGGGTTCTTGTTACTTGCAGCCCAATCTCACAACAATTCCTTCCAAATTAGAACTTAGATTAGATTCCCACCTCTTCCACGATGCCTTAAAAAAACAGTTTTACCAAACACCGTATAAAATCATGGGATCCCTTCGCATAATTTCCCAATTCTCGAACCAATTTCCTCTCCAATCTCTGTTTATGATACACAATTCTTCGCAGAGAAGAAGAAAACGGAGGAATTTGAAGAAAACGCAGCGAAAAACCAAACCCTAGAATGGATTCCGTACATTCTGGGATTACCTACGACGATTCTCGTATTCGAAAATTCGAGGAAGAAAAGAGGGGGATTTTAATTGACGAGCAGAGCATCGAGTTGCAGAAGCTGAATTGGTTCGCCATGGAGAAAAGAATCATGGGTCTCGTCGAAAAATTGAATCTTTCCAATATTTTGTCCGTAGCTAAAGAAATCTCGAAAGAGGATCTAATTGCAGGGAGAGGGCTGTTCTGCCAGGCTGTAATGAAATCCCAGTTGAAATATCCAGAATCGAGCAATATTTACGCGGCATTGGTTGCGGTAATCAATTCCGAATTCCCAGATTGTGGGCTTTTGCTTGTGAAAAGGGTCGTGTTGCGGTTCAAATCGGCTCACGATAGCGGCGACAAGAAATTAATCGAGGCGAGTTTGAAATTCGTGGCGCATTTAGTGAATCAGAGAATTGTTTATGAACTTCTTGCATGTGATGTTTTGTTGCTTCTTTTGGGGAACCCGAATTCGGATAACGTCGAACTTGCTGTCGGTTTTTGCACTCAATGTGGTTTGTTGTTACAGAATTTTGCCCCGCTTAAACTTCGACAGATTTTCGGAGAATTTCTTCATGTGTTGCGAAAGGGGGAGGTGGGGAAACGAGTGCAAGTTATGATCTTGAAGCTTTTTTCGGTTAAGAAATCGAGGTTTAGGAATTATCAGTGTGTGGTTGATGAGTTGGACGACATTGTTGAGGTTGACGAACAAGTTACGCATGATGTTTCTTTGTTGATGCACGAGATTTATCCGGAGAATAGTGTGGATGAATTCAACCCGAATCTTGAGTTCGATTATGGCCACGAAATTCGTAGCGATCGGACGGTGAGGATTTGGTGTGAAGATGTTGAGGATGGTGATGAGGTGTCTTCTGATGACGTGGCGAAATTCGAAGACAAGATTGGATAAATTAAGTCACTTGTTTTTGTATAACTATGATTGATTATTAGATTGTCGCAGTTAAAAAACTATTGACATGTGTATGTTAGTCTTGATTAGCAGCTAATATTGAATTGTATTTTTTGGCCGAAAACATTTATTTCATTAATAATATGAAAAAGTACAAAGGGCCTCGTTAAAAACCTTATCGACCAAAACAAGGAAAAGAGTACCCTTTTTTTTTCACAATTTTTATGTTTTTCTAGTTAAGGAAATAACATGAATAAAATAAGACGATCTCTCGACGGATAAATGCTCCTCCATCTTTTTTTCATAAACATCGAAGACACGATCAATATTAATGGAGCTCCCAAAGTGGACAACCAACATGGGCTCCACGAAAGCCCGAACACAGTTCGACACAATTTTACCGCTACCCGTGTTGTTGTTTTTGTCGGAAACCATGTTGTCGTAGTTGTTGTAGTCCTCGTTGGCATCCCATGGGACCAAAACACCTTCCATCTTGTCCAAATTGAAGGACCCTTCGTTCTGGATTGCCGCCTCGGTTTCTTGTATAGACGGTGCGTACATCGGAATGTTAAATGAGTGCAAATGATCCTCCTTCACAAGCCCCTATATGTAAAAGTTAATACGTATAATTTTGTATATATTACTCCTCTGTCCCATAATATTTGTGAAAAGTTTTTTGTTGTCCCAAATTATTTGTCTCTTTAAAATTACGATAAAGCAATTAGTTGCACGTCGATGAAAAGTTTTTTTAGCAATTCGATATCACAGTATTATCGGGAGTACCGCTAAATGTGGTAAACACGATCCTTAAATTACCTCTGCAACCATATCGGAAAGTGTTTCCGAGAGGAGCGTATAAGTCTTGAATTCGTCTTTGGAAGTGGGGTCCGCAGCAATTCTACCGAGGAATCCCAAAACCATACGACCGCCACCTCGTATTTCCTCGCCCCGCAACTTCAGAAAAGTCATAAAGTCCCTCTCGAATTGCTTCGAGTATGCTTCGAATACTTGTGGCGGACTCGTTGTTGTTATGTATATGTTTTGTTTGTTATTCTTCTCCAAGCCTTGAGGAATCTGCCATGCATGCATTCAAAATCATCATTTAAAATTAACTAAACATATATATATATATATATATATATATATATATATATATATATATATATATATATATATATATATATATATATATATATATATATATATATATATATATATATATATATATATATATATATATATATATATATATATATAGCGAATTACGGCCACCCCTGAAGTATGTCCAAATTACGAAAATCCCCTCTTATTTGGGTAATTACAGTCAACCCCTGAGGTGGCTGTAATTACTAATTAATTACCCAAACAAGAGGGGTATTTTTGTAATTTAGCCATACCTCAGGGGTGGCCGTAATTTGACCTATAATTAATTAAATAACCTGGGAGAGCCAATGAATGCTTGCAGATGAGAAAGCAAAGTGAAGACTGTTGTTTGGGAAAAGTCTGCCATAGAAAGAACCAGGTGCACCATATATATAGCACTCTATATTATTTTTCGTATTCGTATTCGTATTCGTATTCGTATTCGTATTCGTATTCGTCGACATCAGTTTGAAGAGATTGTTGAAATCATTGTCTGGAAGATCATTCAGAAACACTTCAAGTTGTTTAGGAACGTGTTTGTTTTCGGACAGTTGCTCGATGATGTGTGAAATTACCAAAAGGGTATTAGGACCTGATGAACAACCCAAATCTGCAATCTTCATGCATTTCGTGAATTCATATTCATCTCTTGTCAACATATCTTTTAGGGTTTCGTCTAAGACTCGCCATGTTTTTGTCATCACAACTTTCTGCAACAATTTAATTAATGTCAGATATAAACATTAGAGAGAGAGAGAGAGAGAGAGAGAGAGAGAGAGAGAGAGAGAGAGAGAGAGAGAGAGAGAGAGAGAGAGAGAGAGAGCAAACTTGGAGGACTGAGTTGTTTGCGTAGCTGGTTTCACCACTCCCGGCATTCATATTCTTCACCGACATCTTCTTTTTTTTCTGATGAAAGGCTACCTTCAATTTATGCCCATGCAATGTAAACTAATTCCCCAAGGGAAAATTATTGCCTAAAACTCCATGTACTAAACAAATTTTACCAGAAAATCCTGTTTGTTTGAATTATAGGCAAACCCCATCTTATATAGATATATATGGGCTATATCAAAAAAAACCCCAGATTGAATTTTGACTTCATAATCCCATTTTTGTAAACTGATATTTGTTATAAATCCAATTGACTCTATTATCCAAAATGCCCTATTTATTATTACTGAAAATTACCATATTACAGTGGAAAAATCCATTAAGTTTTTTGGTAGATATGCACATCCCCCTATTCTCTCCCCATCTCACACCATCCCCTATTATCTCTCCTATCACATGTCTACGTAATTTTAGTTTCTGCTTTCCCAATTTTTATTTTTATTTTTAATGGTTTTTTTTTACAATTTAAAACAAAAATTGTTTTTCCTTTCTTCAGTTTTTTAAATGGTTTATATGTAAAAAGAAAAATTGAAATCCACTACATACTCATCGAAAACCACTTAATTTATCGAAAATTAATTACTATGAAATTAAAGTAAAATTTACTATAAAATAAGCATAATCCACATTAATATTAACGTAATTCACTATTAAATTAGTGTAATCCACTGTTAAATTAGTGTAATTCACTACTTCATCGAAAACCACTATGTGTATAACAACTATGTAAACATGAAAACCACTCTGTAAAATTACAAATTCGCTTTTTTGCTCGGATAAACAACAACATAATGTTCAAGCAAAACAACCATGTTAATAAATCGGACCGAGTCAATTCAAGAGGCCAAAAAAAACCAATTTATATGGCTTTCTTACTTTTAAATAATTATTTTGTGTTAGGGTACATTTAAATTTTGTAAGAATTATATGGATTCCTAAGAGATCATATTGATGGGGGTCGGTTCGGCACTGGACCGTACCCCCATCTTTTCGTTCTGTCGTCGAATTATCTCTCTTGTATTATTTCCCTTTTACTCATTGCCGCCGACCGTAAAATCTGGTGATCAGTGAACTCTCCAACATTTGAGGGAACAAGGTTCCAAAACTGGTATTGAAAGTGCAATTATTGTACCATCGGATAGCAGCGTGAACCATATCCTTTCTTCACCATAGGCCACAACTTTCCGACACGTTTAAAACCTCAATTTTTAACAGATATTGACAGAAGCAGATAGATTGTCCTCAATGAAATGTGTTGTCCGATGTTCATTCGTTGTGACTTTATATTTCACATTTTTTGCCTGAATTCTTGTATTTAATTTTTCGATAATTACAATCTGCTCCGTAAAGTGTAATTACAAAAAAAAAAAAAAAAAGAAAAAAAAAACTTTTGTTTGAGAAATTATGATGCAGGACGAAAGCACGATAAACGAATTAATTGCAATGAATTAATTCTATAGAACAAAATAACATTTAAAATCCATCGAAAATTGAGAAAGAACTAGGGGTGAGTTCGGGACGGGATTTCGGGAATTCAGGATTTTCGGGATTGGTATTTCGGGATTCGGAATAGAAATTTTAAATCCCAATCCCATCACATACTATTAAATCCCAGTATATCGGTATCCCTAAATATTTCGGGTATTTGGGATTGAGATTGGAAAATCCCATATTTTGCCTAAAAAATAAGAAATATTGCATTGTTTTTCTCCATTATTAGTATTATTTTATACACTAAACCAACTTGAAACAAATAAAATTTAAAAAAATAAAAAATAAGTTGAAACGATATATTATATCGTATTTCTCATCTCCTTGACACTACATATAAATTATAGATGCAATCCATCATAAAAAAAAAGTTAAACAACCATTTTTTTTCTTTCCCACACAAAAGTTGTTAGACTCACGGACACACCATACACCAAAAGAAATAATAAATAGAAAAAAATAAAATGATTGTCTAAATTATATATATGGGGTAATGGCAAATATGCCCATGATAAGTGCACTTAATTAAAAGAGGGACATCCAACTTTTTTGTCTTTCAAATAAATCCAGTCCATTCAAACTTATTTGCAAATAAGAAAAATCCTTTTATATATACCAAAATTACCCCCAATTTATTGAAACTCAATTGAACTCCAATTTCATGATTTACACCCCAATTTAGCCCAATTTAATCACTTAACCAATTTTAACCCCAATTTTAATTTTGACCCGCCATCACCGGAGACCGCCGGTCTCTGGTGTTGACTTTTTTTTTTTCCTGAATTTTTTCTCCGGCCGGTCAACTACCGTTGACCGCCGGGTCTCCGCCGTTGACTTTTTTTTTTTTTTATAATTTGTTTTTTATTAAAAATAATATTTTAATTAATATTACTGTCTTGGCTGCTAAATTACTGTCTCTGGCAGTTATTTAACTGTCGGAGACAGTAATTTAACTGTTAATTCACTATTTTGTTTTTTTTCTTCTTCAAAAATATTTTAATTAATATTACTGTATTCGTTGCTAAATTACTGTCTCCAACAGTTATTTAACTGTCGGAGACAGTAATTTAACTGTTAATTGACTTTTTTTTTCTTAAAAAAATATTTTTAATTAATATTACTATATCCGTTGCTAAATTACTGTCTCCGGCAGTTATTTAACTGTCGGAGACAGTAATTTAACTGTTAATTGACCTTTTTTTTTTCTAATTTTTTTCCTTAAAAAAAATTATTTTAATTAATATTACTGCATTGGATGTTAAATTACTGTCTCCAACAGTAATTTAACTGTCTTAGAAAATAATATTAATAATATTACTGTTCGGAAAATAATATTCATAATATTACTGTCCCAAACTGTAATATTACTGTCTGAGACAGTAATTTAGTAGCCAAGACAATAATATTAATTAAAATATTTTTTCTATAAGAAAAAAAAAAAAAAATCAACGCCGGAGACCGGCGGTCAACGGTGGTTGACCAGCCGGAAAAAAATTTCAGGAAAAAAAAAAAATTTCAAAAAAAAAAAAAAAGTCAACGCCGGAATCTGGCCGGAAAAAAAATTATTTTCTGAAAAAATAAAGTTTTGGGGGTTAATGTGATATATTTGTTTAAATCCGGGGTCAATGTGTAATATTAAGGAAGTTAGAGCATAATGGGTGGAATTGATAAGAATTATATTATTGATGGTATTTTAGACTAAAGACATGGAGATAAGCTTAATTGAGAGACTTTTTTTTTTTGTGGACCAAAATGCATTTAAGTCTTATGTGATGGGCCTTTTTGCCATTTGCCATATATATATATATATATATATATATATATATATATATATATATATATATATATATATATATATATATATATATTGTGTGTGTGTGTGTGTGTGTGTGTGTAAGTGTGTGTGTGTATGTGTGTGAACCGGGAGGTCGATAACGTAAGCATTATCATTAATTTTCTGAAGGACTTTAAAATGTACATACTTTTTTGGCTTGAGCTTGCTATACGTTCCAACCGGGAATTGCTCCTTTCGAAGGAATACAATAACATCGTCCCCCTCATCAAAAGTTTTCAGCCTGCGATGTTTGTCCGCAGCAGCCTTATACTTCGCACTCTTTTGCTCGAGCTTATCCTTCACCTCCGTTTGCCAATCTCGCACTTCATTAGCCAGTTGCACTGCTGCCCCACTTTTTCGGTGCTCTTGAAAAAATCCACTGCATATCTCGGAGCTACCCTATAAACCAACGCAAAAGGGACATTCCGGTGGCGCTATGCACAACGCTATTGTAAGCAAACTCCGTCTGCGGTAAAGCGTGATCCAATTGTTTCGGGCGATCGCCACAAATACATCGTATTAAATTTCAAAGTCTGATTAGTCACCTCCGTTTGCCCTCTGTTTGCGGATGCGCTGTGGTGATTCGCTTGAGGGAAGTGTCAAACAACTTCCAACGGACAAGCTAAAAATGGTTAAGGAACTTCACATCTCGGTCAGATATCGGTACGTCGTGTAAACGGATCACTTCTCGAAAGAATAGCCTCGCAATGTGAGACGCATCGGAAGTCTTTCGGCACAGAATGAAGTGGGTCATCTTGGAAAACCTATCAACCACCACGAAAACCGAATCAACTCCTCGTTGGGTTCGCATGAAGCCCAATATAAAGTCCATTGACAGATCTTCCCAAATACCGCTCGGGACTGGGAGAGGTATATACAACCTCGTATTTTAAGACCGACTCTTCGAAACTTGGCAAACACAGCACTTAGCAACCACCTTACCAACATCTCACTTAAGTTGGGGCCAATAAAACCGCTCATCAGCGTTGTGCGTCATCTTGTCTCGCCCCAAGTGACCACTGTTGGGATATATTATTTAATTTATTATTTAATTACTGGTTTAGTTAATATTTTATTATTAATTAATTAGAATGGTATCATTAGATATAGATATTGCCGTGAGTTAGGGTTAGGAGAATTATTAAGTATTTTATTAGTTTAGGTAATTATCTTTTCTAGTTAGATTAGGATTCTAGGGTTTTCTTATATTTAAATAGTCGTCTTGTGCTAGGGTTTTATTATGCAGAGAAAAATATTAAAGAATAGATCTTACGTTTCGTAGGAAATATTTATGATACTCAAGAGATCGCATCAATTGGTATCAGAGCGAAGTTGCGATTAACACCAACGCTTCGTTAGCAAGGCAGCGATTACATCAAAGCTACGCTGGAGCAAAGTTGAGATCACATCAAAACTTTGTGAAAATCATGATGTCAGAAACAAGACGGTTGGAGCGATTGGAAAAATCCGTAGAGAAATTACGGATTAATTTTCAGAAATTGCTCGAACAAAGTCAAGGACGACGTCAACGCCATCACAAAAGCCGAAGGGACCGCTGTCCGTCACCGCCACGGCCATCACCACCACCGCCACTGCCGAGCCTATCGTCGGAGGGAGAGGAAGAGGACGACGATGACTTTTTCGAAGAGCCCCAATTTTTTGTGAGTTCGCCCAAAGAAGAAGAATCGAATTCCACTGAGATAAAGTGGGACGAAGAGCCGAAAGAAGAAGAATCGGAGTCAATTGAGATAAAGTGGGACGAAGACGAGAAATTAACCAGAGAGGAGAGCGAAGAGCTACTATGGATATTCGGAGATTTCCATGGTGTTCAAAAGAAAGGAGACGAAGAACCGATGGTCAGTTTGGAGGAGACAAAATCTGAAAAGATGATTAAAAAAGTTTATCTATCGGGAAAAAAATTGAGTATTTTCGCAAAAGTAGCCTTTGGAAGTTCTTGGGGTCAGCAAGAACCATGTGTTAAAGAGCTTGATCGTTCATTGTGTTTTTCGGATTCATTCGGAAAGAAAGTCGATGAAGTCAAACATAGATGGAAACGCAAGACGAACCTTGAGGACAAGATTCATTTCAAGCGGGGTGGAATGTTGGGATATATTATTTAATTTATTATTTAATTACTGGTTTAGTTAATATTTTATTATTAATTAATTAGAATGGTATCATTAGATATAGATATTGCCGTGAGTTAGGGTTAGGAGAATTATTAAGTATTTTATTAGTTTAGGTAATTATCTTTTCTAGTTAGATTAGGATTCTAGGGTTTTCTTATATTTAAATAGTCGTCTTGTGCTAGGGTTTTATTATACAGAGAAAAATATTAAAGAATAGATCTTACGTTTCGTAGGAAATATTTATGATACTCAAGAGATCGCATCAACCACTCAGCCCGCTCGCATATAGATCCACAATTAACTTCTCGGGAAGAGAAGTCCTCGGAAAGGACAGCTGGTTATCTCTAAAAATAAATCCCTCATTAATATAATAATCCTCCATGGGCTGTCAACCAACACACTTAGACCTTATTTTTTCAAAATCCTCATCTCCTTCGTACAACTCCTTAAAACGTCGTTTTGAGGGCCTAAACGGCCTTAAAACGCCAAAATTGGTTCCCATCGTTGTTCCGGTTCGGAAAAACTTGGTCTCGCACAATTCTGCCTCCGCCGCCTCTTCATCAAATTACATCAAACCCCCTGTAATTTTTAAATTTCTTACGTTCGCCCCCCTACAAGATGAATCAGAGCCAAGTATTTCCAATAACAAATATCGTATCATATCACGATATCGGGCAATATTTACCGATAATCGGTACAAATACCGATTTATATCGTTTGATATAAATCGTATGGATATATCATAATGTTGACTACCTTGGCTAACAGTAATTCAATAATTACTTCACCTCATTTTCAACCTAAAATATGGTATTTTAGTAAATTATTAATAGAGCTACTAGCTTTAGTTAATTTATTAAAAAAAAAAAAAAAGCAATTATTGAAAAAATATAATATAAGCTAATTAAACAGTAAAATGAAGAACCTGGGAGAGCCAATGAAGGCTATAGGATGAATAAGCAAAATGAAGGAACCAGGTGCACAGTAAATAAAGCATTCGATCTTCGTATCGATTTTTTGAGAGAAACTGGGGCAGCTGCTTGAACAGATTGTTGAAATCATCGTCTGGAAGATCGTTCAGGAACACTTGGATTTCACGAGGAGCGTGTTTTTGTTTGGACAGTTGTTCGATTATGCGTGAAATTACCAATAGGGTGTTTGTTAGGACCTGATAAACACCCCATATCTACAACTTTCATGCATTTAGGGAAGTCATTTTCTGCAGCAAACATGTCTTTCTACATGCAAGAATGTCAAATGACAAGTGAATACACATTTTTTTTTTCTTCTTATTCATACTATATTATTTTAATTACAACACATTTTTTTTTTTTTTTTATCGAGGTATGTATTTATTCCATGTTGGCTCCCCTGTGTTTTATCGAATTGTTAAAAACAAGGGTAGTAAATGCAATATCGAATTGTTAAAAACAAGGGTAGTAAATGCAATAAGCACTTTCGTTTATTGGAAAAGAGAAAATATCTTCCAAACAAATACACCATGCATATACACCGCTTCAATCCGTCATTGTTTTCCTAGTTAAGGAAATGACCGGAGTAAAATACGACGATCTCTCAACGGACAAATGCTCGTCCGTTTTTTTCGCATAAACATCAAAGACGACATCAACATTAATTGAGCTCCCAAAGTGGGCAACTAACATGGGCTCCGCGAAAGCCCGAACATAGTTCGCCACAAATTTACCACTCCCGTTGTTTTTGTCTGAAACCATGTTGTCGTAGTTGTTGTAGTCTTCGTTGGCGTCTAATGGAACCAAAACAACTTCCATCTTGTCCAAATTGAACGACCCTTCACTCTGGATTGCCGTCTTGATTTCTTGTATTGACGGGGCGTATACCGGAATGTTAAACGAGTGCAAATCCTCCTCCTTCAAAAGCCCCTATATTTAAAAGTTTATTTTGAAATGTTTATTTTTGTCGTCTCATATTATTTGACACTTTATAATTCCAATGAAGCATTAATTGAATTTTTTCAAATTTATCATTTATCGCACTCAATATAATAAATTAAAGGGAGCAACTAATTAAAGGGTAAATTACGGCCACCCCTAATGTAAGGTCAAATTATGAAAAAACCCCTCATGTTTGGGTAATTACAACCACCCCTCAACTATGAATTTTCTTACACGTGAACCCTTATGGTGTCAAATTCAACATAATCTTCTCGATTCCGTGAATTTTTCTAGTTTGCACTTGTTTTGTGCAAAAATGCAGTTTCAGGTGCACCACAATAATCTGATATTTACGAGCGAATATACGCACCATATGATCATCTTGTTTCTAAATGTGGAGCTGGAATGTGATAAAACGGATCGGATACAAATTGGAAAATATTCTACATAATCTTGAAGATCCACTAATTTTGACACTGCAATGGTAGACATGTACGAAGAGTCATAGTTAAGGGGTGGTTTTAATTATCCAAACAAGAGAGGTTTTTTCGTAATTTGACCTTACATCAGGGTGTGGCTGTAATTTACCCCTAATTAAATTATGGGTTAATTGCATTCAACACCCTGTATTTACTCTAATTATTAAAAAAACTCTTTGAATTATAAATATTAACAAAATATCCTACCATATGATTCAATTTTATTAGCAAACTACCTCCTGAATTTTTTGTTTTTTTTTCACTAATATATATAACACAATAATATTTTTTAGCAATTCGATGTATCACAGGGATACAGCTAAATACAGTAGTGAGTAAACTCCTTAAATTACCTCTGCAACCATATCGGAAAGTGTTTCTGACAGGAGAGTAATAGTCTTCAATTCGTCTTTGGAAGTGGGGTCCGCGACACTTCTACCGATGAATCCCAAAACCATACGACCGCCACCTCGTATTTCCTCTCCCCGCAACTTCAAAAAAGTCGTAAAGTCCCTTTCGAATTGGTTCGAGTATGCTTCGAATACTTGTGGCGGACTCGTCGTTGCTATGCATATGTTCTCCTTGTTATTCTTCTCCAATCCTTGAGGAATCTGCCAAAATCATTTAAACTAACTAAAACTCAATATTTAATACTTAATTAGTACTATTAATTAACTTCATGTTCGATATTTTGTAAAACTTTCTCGTGCAATAGTTCGTAAACAAACGGTAATAAATCGAAGAAGAACTAATTAACCTGGGAGAGCCAATGGAGGCTGTAAGATGAGTAAGCAAAGTGAAGGCTGTTGTTTGGGAAAAGTCTGCCATAGAAAGAACCAGGTGCACCATATATATAGCACTCTATATTCGTATTCGTATTCGTATTCGTATTCGTCGACATCAGTTTGAAGAGATTGTTGAAATCGTTGTCTGGAAGATCATTCAGAAACACTTCAAGTTGTTTAGGAACGTGTTTGTCTTCGGACAGTTGTTCGATGATGTGTGAAATTACCAAAAGGGTGTTGGGACCTGATGAACACCCCAAATCTGCAATCTTCATGCATTTGCTGAATTCATATTCATTTGTTGTCAACATATCTTTTAGGGTTTCGTCTAAGACTCGCCATGTTTTTGTCATCACAACTTTCTGCAACAATTTAATGTCACATAGATATATACATTAGAGAGAGAGAGAGAGAGAGAGAGAGAGAGAGAGAGAGAGAGAGAGAGAGAGAGAGAGAGAGAGAGAGAGAGAGAGAGAGAACTTGGAGGACTGAGTTGTTTGCGTAGCTGGTTTCACCACTCCCGGCATTCATATTCTTCACCGACATTTTCTTAGTTTTGATAAAAGGGTATACCTTCAATTTCTGCCCATGCAATGTAAACTAATTCCCCAATTTATAATACATAGATTTAGGGAAAATTATTGCCTAATATTCCATGTAGTATTTAACAAATTTTACCAGAAAATCCCATTTGTTCGAATAATAGACAAACCCCACCTTATATATGTAGGATTGTCGATTGAGTGGGGCCTACCTACTTACAGGCTACAGCAGGATGACACGGCTCGCAACTAGCGAGTTTCGCATGTCGGGTCTAATAAATCGGATCGAGTCAATTCAAGAAGGCAAAACAAACCAATCTAAATGGCATTCCTAAGAGATCATATTGATGGGGGTCGGTTCGGCGCTGGACCGTACCCCCATCTTTTCGGTCTGTCGTCGTAGTGAAAGCTCAATGGGTTGCAACAAATAAAATGGGTCGAGAGCTCGCTTTAAGGGTTCACGAGAGTCAGGACGGACCAAAAAACTCGCCTGAAAGGGCTGCAAATGATAAAACGGGCTGAGAGCTCGCCTTATGCTTCTAATACGTGGTAGGTGGCGAGCTGATCGATATCATGAGTGTTGGAGGATGTGAACAGGATATAACATCCATAAATAGACAAAGAAATATTGTAAATTAGATCATTGATTTGAACGACCATAATAAATCATGGTAGAAGATCGCGACTGTAAATTAGGAAAGAGCCATAACTAGTTCTCTTTATAAGCATATATATGTATTAAACCCTATTAGGATTATTTTGCAGTAACAATAAGAAAACCGCAGTGTGGGAATTTCAACTCCAATGAAGGTTGGTTCTTTGTGGCATCAGGTCTGGGTCCGCTGCCCTAACGGGCCATTGAGTCACCATGATTTACATTCCTCCATCAAATACTTGTCGCTTTTTGGTACAAGATTGAAGATACATACTTGATATTTTCACTCGAATTATCTCTCTTGTATTATTTCCCTTTTACTCATGGCCGCCGACCGTAAAATCTGTTGATTAGTGAACTCTCCGATATTTGACGGAACAAGGTTCGATAAGGTATTGAAGGTGCAATTATTGTACATCACATATCGTGAACCCTATCCTTTCTTCTCCATAGGCCACAACTTTCCGACACGTTTATCACAATTCTTAATTTTCCCGAAAAAATCGTTGTCATGGTTATTACTTATTAGCCAAATTAAAAAATATATATATATATGTTTGAGTTAAAGAAGAATACAGAAACTGTGAATAGAATTGAGCAGCAGATATTGATTGAAGCATATAGATGGTCCTGAATGAAATGTGTTGTCCGATGTTTTTTTTTATAAGACGTGTGTTGTCCGATGTTGATTCGCTGTGAATACGTTGACATAACATAATATAGAATGCCACTCTATATTTCACATTTTTTGTCTTGACTTCTTTTATTTTTTTTATGGGTAAATTAGAACCACCTCCCTGAGTAAAGTGTAATTAAAAAAAAAAAAAAAATTTGAAAAATTACATTCAACCCCCTGCAATATGTAAACTTATTATGTTCACCCCCTACAAGAAGGGTGTTAACATAAAATATTTATAAATTTCAAGGAGTGGATTTATTGGAAAATGAGAGTTTTTTTTTCTTCTTTTTTGTAAATAGACCTTACTTTAGGGGGTCGTAATTTATCTTTTTTTTCTTCTCCATTTTGTTAGGATTCCAGATAGTACCATTTATCTTCACTCACGTACATTAATATGAAGGGTAAGTTACCGCCACCCCTAAGGTAATATCAACTTACGAAAAACCCCATTTTGTTTAGGTGATAACAAACACTCATAAACTATATATGAATTTTCTTAAAACGTTCATTCTTGCAGTGTCAAATTTAGTGGAATCTTTTAGATTATGTGGAATATTCTCCCGTTTTACCGCATTCGAGCTGTATATTGTAAAACAAGATGATCATAAAATGTGTCTCTTTAGTTTGTAAATATCATACTGTCGTGCATCTGAAACTGCATTTTTGCACGAAACGACTACAAACTAGAGAACTTTCCACGGAATCTAGAAAATTATGTTGAATTTGACACCATAAGAGTGGACGTGTAAGAAGATTCATAATCGATGGAGGTGGTTGCAATTACCCAAACATGAGGGTTTTTCGTAATTTGACATTACCTCAGGGGTGACCATAATATACCCTTAATACGAATGTGTGAATTTGTTTGTATGAATGACAACAACCACTAATAAATTAATACTCGATAAATTAATAATTTCGTTTAAATAATAATTTCTTCCAACCCCAACTTGGTAAGAAAATGCTAAATTATTATCTCGATATTTTAATATTTCGCTAAATTAAATAATATCATAAATAAAAAAAGGTGTCAGCTTTTTATTTCACGCTCTTATTTTTTTCGAAAACCGTGAGTTTTTTTTTTGTACTCGTTTGCATCCCATGGAATCCAAAAAGATTCCATCTTGTCCAAATTGAAGGAATCCGAAAAAAAAAATATTGAAAAAATATAATATAAGCTAATTAAACACCAAAATGAAGAAGGGAGAGCCAATGAAGGCTATAGGATGCATAAGCAAAATGTAGGCTGCTGCATGTAAATAGTCTGCCATAGAAAGAACCAAAGCATTCGATTTTCGTATCGATATTTTGAGAGAAATTCGGCAGCTGCTTGAACAGATTGTTGAAATCATGAAATCATTGTCAGGAAGATCGTTCAGCAACACTTGGGTTTCACGAGGAACATGTTTTTGTTTGGACAACTCTTCGATGATGCGTGAAATTACCAAAAGGGTGTTCGGGCAAATGCGAGCTGGCAAGAGAAAATATCTTCCAAAACCAATACACCATACTAGGGGTGAGCAAAAAAACCGAAAAACCGAGCCGTTTTAAACCGTACCGAATAGCAAACCGCATGTACGGTTTTTTTATTTTTGAAATACCGAATTATTTTATAAGGTAAATAACCGAACCGGAAAACCGAACCGAACCGAAACTACAAAATGACTTCATTTTATATAATATATGTATTATTTTACCCTAATATTTATTTTCTATCTTTCAATTACTTGTCTTATTCTAAGCATTTGTTCATAAATTGAGACATTGTATTTTATTTATTTAGTAAGTAAAAATTTACTTGAGTTCATGGTTTTAATAATGTGGTAGATGAAAGTAGGAAAAAAAATGAAGCATAATACATCATCTAAATTACGTAAGTCCTATGAAATTAAAGATTTTATATTTTCATTGCATTAGTAAGTTGTGAAAGTAATTGTAATTGTATTTTTTTGTTTGTACAACAACTTGAATATATATTGACACTTGAACCGAAAAATAACCGAAACCGAACCGAAAAAAACCGAAACCGAACCGAAACCGAAAGAAACCGAACCGATAAAAAACCGACATACACGGTTTTTAATTTTACAAAAACCGATATATTCGGTTCGGTTCGGTTTTTGGCTAAAACCGAACCGAACCAAACCGACCCATGCACACCCCTACACCATACACCGCTTCAATCTGTCATTGTTTTCCTAGTTAAGGAAATGACCGGAGTAAAATACGACGATCTCTCAACGGACAAATGCTCGTCCGTTTTTTTCGCATAAACATCAAAGACAACATCAACATTAATTGAGCTCCCAAAGTGGGCAACTAACATGGGCTCCGCGAAAGCCCGAACATAGTTCGCCACAAATTTACCGCTCGTGTTGTTTTTGTTTGAAACCATGTTGTCGTAGTTGTTGTCGTCTTCGTTGGCGTCTAATGGAACCAAAACAACTTCCATCTTGTCCAAATTGAAGGACCCTTCACTCTCGATTGCCGTACTGATTTCTTGTATAGACGGGGCGTATATCGGAATGTTAAACGAGTGCAAATCCTCCTCCTTCACAAGCCCCTATATGTAAAAGTAAAAGAAAAAAATAGGGTAAATTACACCCACACCCTAATGTATGCTAAAATAACTTTAAGGTTCATATGATATCAACAATTACACTTATCCCCTGAAATATAGTTAGAAACTTTAATAGGATAATGCATTTGATATGTTATTCCGATAGAGTTCTAAAGGACTATTACTTTTAGTTAATGGTGGAGACAACATAGAGTTAGGGGGTGACATGGCTCCCCCAACAATTCTTAAATCACCCGCTCTTTGTTGTCTCCACCACTTTCTAAAACTATGGGGTGGTTGTAATTATCCAAAAAATAGGGGTTTTTTCGTAATTTGAGTTTACATTAGGGTGTGGCTGTAATTTATCCCTAATTAAATTATGGGTTAATTGCATTCAACACCCTGTATTTACTCTAATTATTAAATAAGCTCCTCAAATTGTAAATACTAACAAAATATCCCACCAAATGATTCAATTTTATTAGCAAACTACCACCTGAAAAATATGTTTTTTTTTCACTAATATATATAACACAATAAGTTTTTTTAGCAATTCGATATATCACAGTGGTACAGCTAAATACAGTAGTGAGTAAACTCCTTAAATTACCTCTGCAACCATATCGGAAAGTGTTTCTGACAGGAGAGTAATCGTCTTCAATTCGTCTTTGGAAGTGGGGTCCGCGACACTTCTACCGATGAATCCCAAAACCATACGACCGCCACCTCGTATTTCCTCTCCCCGCAACTTCAAAAAAGTCATAAAGTCCCTTTTGAATTGGTTCGAGTATGCTTCGAATACTTGTGGCGGACTCGTCGTTGCTATGCATATGTTCTCCTTGTTATTCTTCTCCAAGCCTTGAGGAATCTGCCAAAATCATTTAAACTAGGGTAAATTACACCTATACCCCTGAGGTATAGTAAAATAACTTCAAGGTCCCTATAGAGTAACGGTAATTACAATCACTCCTTTGAAACATTGTAGAAACTCTAATAGAATAATGCATTGGAAAAATTATTCCGTTAGGGTTCTAACAGACTATTAGTTTCAGGCAATAGTGGAGACAACATAGAGATAGGGTGTGACATTGGTTTACTAACATTTCTTAAATCCTAATATTTTTATATAAGATTTATAAATTTTAGTCTATCGTAGCATTAACGGCCCAACGGAAAACAAATATAGTGCACATCGCTCCCCAGGATATGAAATCTTG